TATGTGGGAAAAACTATGTGGGAACTACGTGGGATAAACTATGTGGGCGTTAGATGGGAAAAACTATGTGGGAAGAAGATGGTAAAAACTATGTGGAAACTAGATAGAAAAAACTATGTGGGAATTAGATGGGAAAAACTATGTGGGAAGAAGATGAGAAAAACTATGTGGGAATAAGATGGGAAAAATTATGTGGGAAGATGGGAAAAACTATGTGGGAACTAGATGGGAGAAACTATGTGGGAACTAGATGAGAAAAATTATGTGGGAATTAGATGGAAGAAACTATATGGGAAGTATATGGGAAAAACAATGTGGGAAGTATATGGGAAGAACTATGTGGGAAGTATAAGGGAAAAACTATGCAAGTAGTGTATAGGAAAAATTATGTGGGAAGTGTATTGGAAAAATTATGTGGGAAATATATGGAGAAAAACTACATGGGATGTATAACCTGTGTGAAGATTGCCTCCCAACATTGAAAAACATAAAGTTTCTATAGCTCATTCGATTGCTTATCGTTTGCACGTGTATGCACATTTCGAATTTTCATTTGCACACTTCTAGTTAAGAAGTTATTAACAAACAAAGTCTTGGATAGCGGCAGTTCTGCATAAAAAAATTCGTTTTCAGAATGAATTCCGAAGATACGCGATTCAAAATAGAACCAATCGATTTTTCGTTTGCACACATCTAGTTAAAAAGTCATTAACAATTAAAGTTTCAGAAACTTCACACAGATCTTTTGACGCCATCCGCCGGTTGTCTTAGGAACTTCTTACAATACAATGACAGCTATTTACAAAGTTAGCACAGCGAGAGAACCCATTGCGGAAAAGTCAATAATAAACTTCGAGGAAATTTCGAAAGCTGCAAGTATCGATGTCATGCCTTTTTTTAGAAAAAATTATTATATATATTTATTATTATTATTATTAACAAACTTTATTACAATATAAAATAAAATTTAAGTAAAAAAATATATTCACCCATTTTTTACATTGATTTATCACATTAATTAATTTATTTACTATATTTTGCAATTTTAATATCTCTATTTAATAATTTATTATCGTGCTTTCCATGTGTTTAATACACATGTACAATACACTTGAATCAATGTACATGCAAAGTAAAAAGTATCGCTTCCAAAACACATTATTGGTTAGAATGAGATAGTGTATATTTCTTTCTCTCTCGTAGGATTTAGCCCTAAATATGGCGGATCAGAGTCGTGGCCAGTCTCTGATTGTAGTGTCTCAGGGGCTGCGTTCCGATATTCACTGCCAGTACTGAAAATATATAGTTCAGGTCACGTATATTATAGATTTTCAGCGTATGCAGCGAATATCGGAACTCAGCCTAGTTCTCCGATGCGATCGCGTTTCCGGTGGGTACGTTTCTTCCGTTCGCGGACGAGTCTCAAAGAAGATCATATCCCATGACCGAATCCAGCAGTCACCGCAGAAAATCCAATATGGTGTCTGTCGTTCAGCGGTTTACCTCGGATGTCCGTATTTCGGGATAAAATTATTATACGGCGACCGCGTGACTAGCAATAATTATGAAAATTCGATTGAAAGCGTCACGCCGCACGTGAAGATTCTCATGCCACTGCGTCTCGTGCTGGATCGATACGCGCCGTGAACGGGAACGGTTCCTCAGAGGACAGAGCGGCCAAGAGATCCTCCGTTTGTCCTCTTCCTCGGCGCGTAGAGAGAATTTTCAGAGATAAACCAAGGAGCGGAGATTGATAAATGGATGCCGAGAAGATGGAGGGTGGCGCGGAAGTGAGTGATCCGGAGGCGTCGGACAAAATCAAGGGGATGAAACGGGACTCGATAGCGGACGTCACAACCTTAGATATAAAGTCGCGTCTCAGTTTAGAGGCGACGGAGGTGGCAAGCGGTGAGCCGCATGTCAACGGAGTAGCTCAGATGAACGGTATCTGCGACTCTCCTCAAAGAACTGCCACCGTCACCGATCTCCTCCCACAATCTAAAACAATGGAAACTAGTCATTTAAACCAACATGGTATATAGAGCCAGCTCACTCATCAGTAGATAAATTTAGAGTTTATATATGTAATGATAAACACACTTGAAGCATGTCAAACTAGTTCATCGTTTGGTCTGTTTATTATTGTAAAACAAACTCTATTCCTATGTGGTTTATATTATCTTCTATTGATAAAAGATATCCAGTCAACTGTTGGCTTAAGTGATTTATTTTATATCTGAAATTCTTATTAAATTTTTAAATTTTGATATTCATGTTTAAGATGGTTATTTGATTCAGTTAAAATATCTGCTTCTTGATATGTTACAGAACAAGCAGAAGCGTTATCCATGGAAAGTAAAGACAACGATATCCAATATGTTAGTTATACAAGTGAATTACAAATGCCTGATATTATGAAATTAATACAGAAGGACCTAAGTGAACCATATTCTATTTACACATATAGATATTTTATTCACAACTGGCCGAAATTGTGCTTCCTGGTATGTATTTTCCAGAAAATTTTTAACTTTGTATTATGTTACATTTGTATTACATTTGAGTTAACACATATCAGGTTTGTTTTTTATAGCTGGACTAGTGTACTCTCATACTTAAAAATAAAATACTAAAATAAAATAAGTACATATTTGAAGTTTGGCAAAAGTGAAAGAAAAAGAGAAAGAAAATTTTTGTATATTACAGTGCAATAATAAAAAGCAGACCTGTAATATAGCAAATATGCTGTGTTTGCAATATGCTGTATTGCAATTTTTGTAAGAACTTTGCAGAGTGTCTGTATAATTCATGATGAAATATTAAAAGCATGTAAAAATATATAAAAGAATATTATAACTCAGATATAGATATAGGATTTACAGAAAGCTTTCCTCTTTTGTTAAGGCAATGCATGGTGAGGAGTGCGTTGGTGCCATTGTCTGCAAACTGGACATCCACAGAAAGGTGATAAAGCGCGGTTATATTGCAATGTTGGCTGTCGATGTGAAATATCGAAAACGGAAGATCGGATCGAATCTGGTGAGACGTGCTATTCAGGCAATGGTGGAAGATGACGCCGATGAAGTGGTTCTGGAAACGGAGATTACCAACAGGCCGGCATTACGCTTGTACGAAAATCTTGGATTCGTGCGGGATAAACGGTTATTTCGATATTACTTAAATGGCGTGGATGCGTTGCGACTGAAATTATGGCTCAGGTGAAATTCATCCGCGTGCTTATGTCAATAGGTATTTAAATAATTACAATGTTGAAGAGATGTGACATCTATGCTCTACTATATCGGGCAAATGTGCGACATTAATGTCAAAGAGATTATACGTTTCTACGTGCAGAATTTTTGTTTTTGGTTACAATATCGTATGACCTCTATATTTTTTTTTAGAATCGTTAATTTGTTGGTAAAAATGTATCGCAGTGGATGAACTTTGTCTTATGACGAGATCGTATTTACTTATCTTGGAGACCGTCTATTTTCAACAAATTTGTTTTTCACATTTTGTGAGATAAGTGTAATGAAATGTCCAACAGCCTATTGACAGTATGTCCGTTAAGGACAGAACATATGTACAGAGTAATTTGTTAATAGTGCCTAACTGTTGCCTGACTGTTAGTTACTTTGTTATGAATTTGCTGCAATTCCTTTGATATTAATGTCAGTGATCGAGATAGATTTCAATTGCAGCTTGAAGATATAAAAGTAATGAGTGATAGTAAGAGAACAAAATTGAGACTGTGAAAAGTGTATTGAAAATGACATATTTTGCTTGGAGCTCACATTGATAAAGTGCGCATCTTGAAGCGTACACATGTTCCCACGACTGATCCAAAAAAAGAAAGTTTAATGAGTTTAAAGTCGTTACAATTATGTGTGATTTACTTACATAAAAATCTTTTGTAAACTGAATATATAAGAGATATATATTTTTGTTACAAATGGATATAATTACAACTATACCTATGCGGTATACATTTTAATTATATCCTAAATCACAAATTTTTTCATGATTTATTTGTGAAATGCAATCAAAAAAATTCATAAACTCGGCCTTATCAATTTTGTTTTATCACTTTTGTAAAAATTAAAATTCGTACTAATTTTAGCGTTTCTCCTTTGTTATGATAAGAAATTCAACGTTTATTATAACAAATATTAAAATAAAGATACAATTCGTAAAAATAAGAGAAGAAACTGAGATACAATTCGTAGAAATGTAAAATAACGTTTATATATACATATAAAAGATATAATCAACAAAAAGGCCGTGCGATATTTATATGAATTCTTTTTATTGTTTTTCAACGTTTTTGATGGATCCAATTCATCTTCATTCTAGTATTTTAATACCGAAATGAATAATTATAAAAATGGAATGATTATAAAATTACGTTATATTATGCGAAAATTGCTATATCATAACAGCTGGCGCGTAATTTTGCTTGAGTCGAGTGTACGATTTTGTCAGTGTGAACGGCATTTTAATAGAGAAACAAAAGCGTGAAAAAAGAAAAAAGAAACAAAGTCCTCCGAGAGAGTATGATGGAATTTTAGAAAAAATACTTCTGTTTGAAATTGTAAAGTAATATCGATATACTACATTAAACAGACGCGGACAAAGAGAAAAACAAAAGAAAAGGGAAATTTATCGTTTAAATTGAAATGTTTCATGAGGAAATGCACCTCACGCGGTTAAAGCGATGGAGGGTGATACGCGCATTACTGTCTACCTATTATATCTATCTTTGTATAAAATAAATGCGAAGCACAGATCATAATGTAACTATTAAAAAAAAAATGTAAAAAATGTTAATAAAAATACATAAATGTTTTTACACGCGTCTTGTTAATGTTATACTTGTTTATTTGCTGCGACCAACTTAAACTGGTAACAACAAATTTGAATGATTAAACATTTAATATTTAAGAAGAAAAATATAATTATATGAAAGTTATTTCACAATGTTAGTCTATTAATGTCTATTAATAATTAAATATTAATTTTATATTCTAATATTCTCAATTAAAGTTTGATTAAAAATATCCGAGTTTGAGCAGTAATCAATCAACTATTCATTATGGAAAGATAAAGAGTTGATTGGCTACAATATTGTTGTTGGTTATAACGTATGGTTACGGTTTATTTGCATTACAAGTGTTTAAAACATTTAATTGACCAATCAGAATAAAATGTTTTACTGATTAAGTAATTGGAAAATGTCTCAAACATTTGTTGCATTATGTAACCCATTCTGTGATAGGAGCCATTAGATCTGTTCCACATTGTACGAGTAATGTATAATGGCTATAAGCTTTCTGATTGGCTGTGAGTCACTGTTAGAGAAATATTTATCGATAAAAAAAGATTCAGAATATGGGCCAAGGAGAGTTCTACTTTTTTGTTACAATTAAAAAATTAAATACTCATTGAATATCGTTCATCGTGCAATGTATAACGAATTTTAAACTTTCACGATGCTCTAAATCGAAGTTTTTAGATGGAAAGAGAATTGACCAATTTCAATAATCAAAATTGACCGAATTTTTCAAGTGCAATAGATTTAATTTTTTTTGTCCAAGATCTTGGCTCGATTTCCAGTATTCCCGGCTCTATTCTTAAAACATATCGTATACGAAAATCCTATAATTTAGTGATATATATTATAGGATTTTCGTATATTCAAGAATAGGGCCCCTGGTCTAGAAATGGACGAATCGAAGAATAGGAGAATGATCGACTATGATTGGTCGATTCTTATGGCTTAAGGCTTAAATCACCTATTGTAAACCGGGCTTATAGACATAAAATTTCATATGCAGCTCGATATATCATTCTACATCTTATGTCCGTATCACATAAATAATTAAAAATTGCGTTTGCATTTTCGTTTCTAAAATCAAATCAGTTTCTTTCTGATTAATCAAGAAACAATTGCATTTAATAAAAGAAGCAAACTTTATAATTATGAAAAGTTCTTAAATATGATTGGTTTAAATCCATGACGAACTAAGAGCAAGAACCAATCATATCAAAGATTTTTACAAAGATATTTTTTTCTGCTCAAACAATCAATAGTGAAATACAGATCTCACTACAAATACTTTGAAGCGTTTAATTGACCAATTAGAACCAAGAAATCTTTGTTCTTTTCGTTCTGATTGGTTAAGTAAACGCCATTGTATCCGACGAGTAGGGTTTTGGAACGCAGCTCTATCCAGACGCGTTGCGAAGCATTTCTCGGTGTCGTTAAAGTCGTCCGAGTCTCCATTGCGCACGGTAAGTGAAATTTCGTATCGTAATCCGAGTTAATTTTTCAATAAAAAGGCGATCCGTTCGCGAAATGAATGAAATAACGTTCCGTATTTTCTCAGCTTTTGATGGAATCTCGTAATTTTGTCGAATTTATGTCGCGAAGTAGCCACGGCGAATTATTCTTGGAACGCGGGAACATTATATGGCTTGGAACCGTATGGCTTGACGCCGCAGATTTTCGGTAAATTGTAAATATGCATCGTGATAATATATATAAACATGCTGCTTTACATCGTGAATATATAAACATGCCGCTTTTATTCTTAATCGTGTTCCTCGATTCGCCGTGCTTATTTCGATCTCGACGCTGTATTTATGGCCGACGAATCCGTTTTCGGTTATTCGATCAATGGAGCAGCGTCACAGTGACGGCCATTATGTATGCTTTTCTGCCGAAATCGTTCTTTCCAGAGCGTGTATTGCGATAGCATGCGTTTAACGTTTCTTAGATAACTCGTTACATTATTATAACATTAGTTACGGAAAGCAAGGTCGATATCTTCAAAATATAATATTAATTTAGTACATTTATATTTTTATTGTTAGATTTTGACTATAAAATTCTTCATTGCTGTTCTCAGACATGTGTTTATCGATTTTATTTCTTCGTGTTAATATTTTTTACATTGAAATTTGATAAATATGCAGTATAATGCTCTCTCTTTCAATTTTTCTGTAATTTTGTGTACTTTTATGCATTGAATATATTTTGAAAAACGAAATCGTCGCTCAAATCCTCGCTTTTTCTTTAATTTCAAAATTTTTTGATATTTGAATTCATTCATATAAAAAAACTTCAATCCACATAAAAAAATGAAAGTATAAATTTTGAATCATGAACTAGTTTCTATTATAATTTAAATTATATAAAATAATTTTTATTCTTAAAATAGAATATATGATTATTAACGATTATATACAATTATTATTATTTTCTAACTTGCTGAAGTCAAAAAACTTTGAAGGTAAAAGAATTGAGAGCAAAGAATGATTTTCTTTCTCAGAATTCTACAAATGAAAATACAAATTTTCAAGATTATAGGAAAATTGTAGAAGAAAATGTTATATTGCATATTTATCTTCAATTTTTATATATTTTTATATATTTTATTTTTTATTTTTTATATTTTGAATACTTTGAATATTGAATAACAGTTATATTTTTATATATTCTTGCTTGAGTATTTATATGAAAAAATTTCAATATGCCGAAAACGGAGTAAATGTTTCAAAGTTTAGAGAAAAGAAGGAATTTAGTCTATAAAGTCTAATATCTTTCTCTTTTTCTTTCCCTTTTTCCTTCCCTCTTCCTTTCCCTCTTCCTTTCCCCTCTTCCTTTCCTCTCC